TCTTGTTCAAAGGTATGTTCTGAGTCAGTATATCCAGGATGCAAGTGCAGGTCCACAGCAGGGAGTGAACCTGGCATGAACCAGTTGGAAGCCCTATGAGAAAGGCACTCTATGAATGCTTGATGAATTGTATGTAATTGAACAGTGGCTGCTCAATAAATACTCGCTGATTGGTTGATTGATTGTTGGCAAAGTTTTCAGAGATCCTCCGAAGAAAAGGCCTCCAGTCTCCAGCTACCATCATTCTTGTTACGTAATTATTTCAGGGCCTTTAAAGCGCCCCATTTTTCATCTTATACTTTAAACATCAGGGGGAAAAATGGATGGGCCGACTTTATAATATTTTAAAATGACTCAATGGTGTTTTGGAATATTACATGGCTATAAGAGTTTATGTATATTTAATATACTTATTAAAATATGCAGTAAGCCCATAGCTGATTTTCTGTAAGGATGTTTCCGTTCTGAGGTGGGACTTAAATGTTTCATACTAATAATAACATTCATAACTCATTTTTCTCTAGTGCTTTCTGCCTTCCGGGTCCAGAAAGTCTGTGAGCAACCCCATCAAGTGATGCAGCGGGGCATGTCAGCAGCCTGGGGGAACACACCTCTGGCCTGTCTTCTTGTGGGAGAGGGGAAGGGGTAGCTCCAACTTAAAGATCTTATTGTGCCCCAACTTTATTTGCCTACATTGATTTAATATTCCATCCACAGTCACAGCTTCCCTTTAGTCTCCTCTGAAAGGCAGCCCCCATGGACAAATGTCTATCTCTATCCCTGTCTCTGTTTCTGCCTCTTCCTCTGCCTCTACACCTATATCTGCATCTGTGTCTGCACAGAGCAGGGGGGGAAAGTGGCCAAATGCTTCTTGGGTAAAGAGAGGTACATGGCCTTCCTTTGGCCAACCAGTGACGGGGCACAGAGTCTACGATCAGATGGTTTGAGCAGGGGCGTCTCCACTTGTCATCTAGATCCGTCTTCTGCCTCTTCTTTCTCCAGGTCACAGAGACAAGGACTGGGCCTCTGGGCTGCAGCAACTATGATAATCTGGACTCCGTCAGCTCTGTCCTGGTACAGAGTCCAGAGAACAAAGTACAGTTACTAGGTAAGCAGCATCTTGATATATTTCATATCTTTTAACAATTGAAAACCAGATCAATAAAGGGAAGGAAAACATCCTGCCTACCCCATTGGGCTAAGTGCTTCTGAAGAGAAGAGCTTCCATGTTTCCTGGAGCCTCTAACAACTTTTCATTATTTTTAAAAGAAACTTCTGACATGGTTTGACCTATACCCAAGACCTACCTTTCCTCATGTATCTGATATCCAAATATGACATTGCACTTCATAGTCTTTCGCAAGACCTCTGGTGCTATCTCATAAGAAACAGCCTATTGGTCTGTATAAGCTTTGTCTAGATGATAGCCTTTGCTTTACCCTAAGGCTGCACTGGGGGATAACTTGCCAATGCAGAGTGGTTATGTGGCTACCTTCTCTGGCTCAACAAAAAGTTAGGTATCTGTAGGACTACGAGCTAATGTAAACATGTCTGGTCTCCATTTTCTGTCATTAGTCAGTGGTCATCCATGGGAGATCAGGAAGAAAGTTTTCAAGGAATGGGAGCTTTGCTTGAGTACAGAACAAGCACATTGGGGAATGAAAAGCACGAGGAATTACACTGAGTCTAGAGACCAGTCCTTAGAAACCAGTCTAGAGATGAGTCCTTAGTCTGGTCTCTGAGTCTAGTAGATGATATATAATGTAGGGAAATACATCTATGTACATATATTTATATGTTAAGTATTAAAGTAGCAAACAGAGATTGGGTCTGTACTCAAGTACTCCCAATAACCTGGCATTATGTGATGCTCACCTTCCCGACACATTCGCTAAAGACAAAATGGGTGCATAAGTAAACGTGAAGAAAGTTCATGGTGCCCGGCTATCAAAAGATATAGCATCTGGGGTTTTAAAGGCCTGAAGATAAAAAAGCGGCCATCTAACTGAGAAGCAACAAAGCCCACATGGCAGAAGCACACCAGTCTGTGTGATCATGAGGTGTCGATGGGATCAGGTA